TTGTACGATATCGTGTGTTTTTTAACCTCACTTTTTGAAAACATTTGTTTTAAAAACAAGTTTAGTGGGAAGTGGGCAATTTCGGGATATTTGGCGAGGAAGTTATTTTTATAAGTGTTTCTCCAATAAAACATGACATGAATCTCTATTCAGCGCAGCAGAAAAATGTTAAAACTGTCAAATTTCGGAACGAACTTTCGGATGTATGTGAGGGTGCAGCCACACTATCCTAAAAATGGCGTATCGGCGTAACGGCGTAACGACCTTGAATCGATTTCCAGTAATTCTATTGGCTGAAATTTTTGACAGATGAATTTGACAGATAAAATTTCTGACAGATGAATGTTTCAGCCAATAGAATTACTGGAAATCTATTCAAGGTCATTACGCTGTTACGCCGATACGCCGTTTTTAGGATAGTGTGGCTGCACCCTGACAGGCTTTTTCTATTTCACACGATAACTTCAAATTTCGGAACCATCGGATTTCGGATGCATGAGACTCCGGCTTTAGACCTGTCATTTCTATGTATTATTATTATGTATTATTCCATGTATTATTGGAGAAACACTTATAAAAATAACTTCCTCGCCAAATATCCCGAAATAGCCCACTTCCCACTAAATTTGATTTTAAAAACCAATGTTTTCAAAAAAAAAGTGACGTTAAAAAACACACGATATCGTACAAAAGTTAAACAAAATTTAACTTTATACGACGTCGAACGATTAGTTAAAAATATCGGATAAAAATTGGTGTCAAAATATTTCGACCAATAGGAACACCGTCGGATCGTCGTGTCATCGGATTTCGGATGCATGAGACTCCGGCTTTAAACGTCAAGCAGTTTAAGCAGAATCGTGATTACTCAATGGTCATATTTTATGAAACACCCTGTATAAATTTATAAAAAATCTTAAAATATGTAAAACCATAAAATAAAATATACGTGTTTTTCCGAAAACTCACCGGTTTTTAGATAAAAAATATTTTAATATTTGGGGGATAGTTTCACCCCCTTAGAATTCGAGTTTCGAAAAATCCCTTCTTATCGAACCTCTACACCCTAAAGTCAATCTGTTTTCCAAAAATAGCTGTAAAATAAACTAAAAAATATTACATTAAAAAAAAACTAAAAAAACAAACAAACGGCACCATCGACACCGACACCGGTGTTCATCGCGATACCGGTGTTGAGATAAACATCGGTGTTGAGATAAACATCGGTGTTGAGATAAACACCGGTGTCGAGATAAACACCGGTATTGTAGATGAACACCGGTGCTGACACGAACACCGGTGTCGGTGTTGACACCGGTACACCGACTGAAATACCGGTGGTCATCAACACCTAACACCGGTGTTCAAATCTCAACACCAAACAGGTTTAGTTTTAATTAATCACCGGTTTTGCTAGTGCGGTTATAATTACGGATATTACGATTACGGCTGTAACGAAACTTTTTAAAGGTACATAATTATAATTTTAGAAGATGTTCATAAAACATTTAATCACTACTTGATTAAAAAAGTATACCATTAATATTGCAAATTATATTTTATCCTCTCATAGTATATGTCTATTTTTAATTTTTTATTATGTAACGAGCACTTTGTTTACTCACTTGTTTCCTCGAACTGCTTGAATTCATTTTTACTTTTGATCAAATCAGTGTGGGAAACTATGAAGCAATAAAATGTTGTTTCGGGAGCGTTGAGTTATTGAATGTTATTACACCTCTCCTTTACAAGTTAACATTTTTTCGGCAATTTTATTAACATAGTTCGGATTCTCTTTCACTTATTTTTTACTATCCGAAACAGCGTTATATCACAAAAACTTCGTACCGATTAGTTTCAATACTGCACTAGCAAAAACTAAAATACTTAAATATTATGACAAAGCCACGATTTCAATACTATTTTAATGCGATCAACATGAACTGTAACCGGGACGGCGTGAAATACATAGCGAACATTTCTGATTTCTGCCATATACAGCGCTGCGGTCGGAATTTTTTTAAATCAACTGAAATGCACGTATATAGCAAGCCCATAGTAACTTTGTTATAACTGCACAAGGTGTATTTCGAAAAAATACAATATCCTTTTTAAATTTTTATTAAAAATATAAAACACTAAAAGCATCCTCTATAAATTACAGTAAAATTTAACAAAAATAATAAAAAAACTCAACTATACTTCAACAATTTAGGCAGTTTGTTAGTACATATACTGAGTATTTAAAAACTGTATAAAAATACTTATTTATTTAGTTGGAATGTAAAACTATTGTACTATGTATTTATTTGAAAATCTGGTTATATGAAAATATATTTTGAAGTACGAGGGCAAGTCAGTAAGATCGTAAAAAATCATACAGGAGGCAACTTAAAGGTAGTAAAGGTAACAAGTGATTTATTTCACCTGAATACTGTCATTATATTTAAGAAATTATTGACTTGCATGTGTACTTTTAGTACGAGAGCTAGCAACGTCGGAAAAACAAGTATTTTAAGACGTCTGGCTCTTTGATATATATTTTACTATGCTCTCTAGAACAGCATGCGGCCCGTCTGGCTGCTGGTAAACGTTGCGTTCCCTACTGCGCATTGAAAGAAGATCCTATATCTTTATTAGTCCTTTAAATTCTAAAGTATTGAATATAAATTGAACATGTCTCCATAGCGCAATGCGTAGAGTTTCTGACCACGAACCGATAATTCACAGTTCGAATCCGGGTCAGGGCAAAGACTTTTTTATTTTATTTTCGTTTATATTCTAATAGTAAAGCATTAAATATTTGTTTTTTATAATTACCAGAATTATTTAATACTTTACTATCAGAATATAAACAAAAATAAAAAAAGTTTTTGACCACTGAACTATGGAGACATGTTCGATTTATATTCAATACTAGAATTTATAGGACTAAATTAATAAAAAATATAGGATCTTCTTCCAATGCGCAGTAGTGAACGCAACGGGTATTGGCAGCCAGACGGGCCGCAGGCTATTCCAGAGAGCATAGTAAAAGATATATCAAAGAGCCAGACATCTTAAAATACTTTCTCGAAAACGTTGCTAGCTCTTAGACTATTTGTATAATACAAAAATATAAAAAAACTTTATGTTACTTTTCACTCAAATAGTTTTTTCTTTTTATAAAGCGCAGTGTTAACAATACTTATACAAAATAATCTCGTATTTGGCACATAAAATACATAAATACAAACTGGGTATAAAGGACAATAACTTTAAGTACATGTTATAAAATATACATTACAATTAATATTAGTTAAAATAATAAATTAAAACAACACTACAAAATAACTCTAACTTCGTTTTGGTTTCTAAATCTCATTTAGTTTAGAAAAAATGCACTTAGGACTTTGTATTACAAAGTCTAGTATATAATATTAGTAAAAAAGTTTTATACGGGATGTAAATGAACTCCAAATTAATAATATTTTAGTTTAAATTTATCTAGTTGAGGTGAAAAATTAGGGGGTAAAATCAAAATCAGTACTAAATGTACAAAAAAGATCTAATTTGACTGATATACACTATTTTTATATTTTATAATTAGTCGTAAGATAGTGCAAGTAGAGTACCTGTTATGAGCACCCAGTATATATTTTGCATTTGAGGCTACCAGCGCAAAAACGGCCTAATCCATGAACTCGCAAATGTTTTCTATGCGTATTAATATTAATAATTGTAAGAAAACTATTAATGAACCTAATTTTGTAGCCTAAAAACTTTTATTTTTATTTAGATACAAAATGAATTTAATTAAATAAATACCATACAGCTCAAATTTGCGAGTTTGTGGATTAGGCCGTTTTTGCGCTGCGCTGGTAGCCTCATTTATTCATTTACATCCTATTTAATCTTCAGAAAAATAAGTAAATCTAGAGGAGTTGTAGTATTGTTCAACAATCTGGCAACATCGTCAGTACGTTCTTAATGTGTAATTTGTTGTAGTTGCAACAACTATAAACCAATGTTTGTTTTGTTACACATCTATATTTACCTATTTGTCTGATATATAATCCATTATGAACACATTTATATATTAATTATGAGTCCCAATATGAGTACTAAAGATTTAAAAAGATTTGTACTTTATTTTCTAATTTTCAGAATGCAAACTGGTTTGAAGAATGACATTAGTTGTCAACATTAGTAAAATAGAAAAATTAAATGTATTGCTTGTTTAGTGATCATTCAATGTTACGTCATATATTGTCAAATTCATAGTTTCACTTGACAACTAGATGACAGAGATTAATGACATCATTATAGCATTTTGTAAATTATTGCACATTGTTTTTAATAAATGTCATTGTCATTTAATATGAGGTTATAATTATATTGACGGATATTGATCAATGTAAAAATTAAAATTTGATTGCGCTGTCAACAATTTCTAATTCTCACTTTTTGATTTTTAATGTAAAATTAAATTTTTATTACTGAAATGCGTTGCCGATTTCGCGAGAAATAACAAATTTTCGTAGCAAAGTTTACTACTAATTTTACTCGAGAAAAGAGACACTGGTAAAAAACTTTTGACTGTATAGATGCCGTATATGAAGTAAGTACAATGCGAACGTGTGTAGTCTTAGTAAACTGAAATTAACTGCGTTTTTGTTGCTGATGCTTTGAGAATCAAGTATTATTATACAGTTTATAAAAGTGTATTTTATTGTATAGAATCTCAAGTTTTTTAATAAGTTTATTTTTAAAAGAGGTACGATTTACCTGGAAAAAATTAGTATATGCGCCTAAAATTATATATTGGAAGATAATCAAAATGAATAAAGACTTAACATACCCCTACATGAATTTAATAAAAACGGAACACACTCATTAATTTCATCAAAATCTTCTTCTTCAAAAAAACAATATGAAGTGATCTCAGGCACATCATAAAACGAATATTTGACAAATAATGATGACGTAACGTTGAACGATCACTGAACAGTTTCTCCTTTTCTACACAAAGGAGGCGTGGCTTCTTAGTAAACGGATGGAGGTTACTTTGCTGGTCCGCTGTAAAATTCGCCTATATGACAAATCTAACGGAAAAATTTGCCTTGCGCATTCGCCAAAATGTAATTTTCACATTTGCATTGTTTGTCGCATCTGTTTAGGTTAGTCTGTGGTAAATATCAATCAGGACAAGTTTTTTTTTTCAAAATACAAGAAAATATTGCTTAATAAATAAGAATGTTAATAAATAAGACTGTTTTTACAAAAAAAAAGACTATTTTTTAAGTCCATAGAGATGTTGGCATTATACCTTCTACAGAAGCTGCAGCTGGCGTAAGATTTTCCTTGCTTAGGAAATTGAGAGGAAGAAACACAAGATGTCCCTGCAGAATGTATTATTTTGTTAAGTTACTTATATATATTTCAGAAAAAAAACATAAAAATCTAAAAATGTGTACAGTATTTAATGAGTCACAATCGTATTTAAAAAGTCACAATCGTATTTTTAAACTGTTTCCCAATATTCCGTGGACATAGAACCACTATGTATCATTGGAATCAAAATAAGTTCATTGGACACAATTTACCTCTATACAAAATTGCTTCGTTTATGCGTTAGAAAGCATCAGACTTTAAAAAATTAAACACATTTTTTAAGATATTTGAGGAACCGTTATTACAAAAATGAGATTTGGGGTGCCTATGTTTTGCTAAGCGCTTTAACATTTATAAAAATCAAGAAAAAGTATAGTTAAGGGAGAAAACCACCCTACCTCTACATAAATTTTAGTTGAAATACTTTCCAACTCCACCTACACCTGATTTTTTTCGCCGTTGGAAAACATTTATACTAAAATTTATGTAGTAGTGGGGGTAGTTTTCACTCTTCCTGTGCTTTTTTTTGTGAAAGTCAAATTTTAAAACGCTTAGATAACATAGACACCTCAAATCTCATTCATTTCAGAATAACGGTTCTTAAAAAATATGTTTATTTTTTTAAAGGTTAATGCCCCCTAACGGACAAACCAAGCACTTTTGTATAGAGGTGATTTGTGTCCAATATACATATTTTGATTCCAAAAATACGTAGAAGTTCTATGTCCACGGAATATTGGGACACCCTGTATAAGAATTTTGTATTTTTATCACCTACCCGAATATCTTCCAGCATTTTCTCTGCTCTGGATAGTTCGTCCACCCAGAGTGGCTTTATTTCATTGTTCCTCCTCAAATCTTGGAAAGTCTCTACGGAATCGGAGGGTATGACGTGGAAAACTTTCTCATAGAGTTCAGTATTTAGACTGGCTATTTTGTACCATCCCTCCCTATAACAATTAACTAATTCAGTAAAGTAGATATAAGCGATACCAAATAAACTTTAAGTTGCGTCATCGAGGGCGCGATTTTTAAATTCATTGTTACCAACCATGGACATATTGGCGCCGGGATGACTAACTGGAATTTAAATTTCCCGCTGGGGATTCAGGTGGTAGCTCTGCTGTAAAAAATGTCAAGTTGCCAAATTTATTTATTTATTTCTTGACATTGTCATTCGTTTTGACACTTTAGTTTTGTATTACGAGTTTTTGGTTTAAATGAATTGTGTTGTGATCCTTTAAGCTTAAAAATTTTTACTAGCTGACCTTGCAGTCGAACGTTCTTCTTTTCAGAACCTCTTTTAGTGCAAAGTGTACAGGATAGCTTAATAACCATTGCAAAAAACTCATCGCAACCTTATTAGAATATTTTGAATGGGAAAGCGGTAGTAATGGCTCTTGTTAAGGAGGTGAGATTTGTTGATGTAAATAATAACTGTTTATATATTTATAATCAATTTATTTTTGTTTCCTAAAATATTTTGATTAAAAGAAAATATGTAAAAGTGGACTACTACCGGTGGAAAATATGTAAACGTGACTAAAAGTTTATATGGTATGATATTAATTTATCTAAATACTGACCTGTAAAAATAATCACTTATTGGATCAGCTACGTCGAAGTCAACAGTATCATTATCATCGTCAAACAGTCCTAGATGTTCCTTGAAAAGGTATTTTCTCAAGCTACCAGCATACAGTCCACAAGGATAAGGATTGCCGTTCATAATACCATCTTCAAAAGCTTCATCCTAAAAAAGAATTCTTTAAGAACAATAATAACGTTACAAAAGGGGTAGAAATGACGACATCTCTCAATAATCTACGCAATGACCATCTTGTAACGGAAGATTTCTATAAACGGACGAAGTCGATGATGAACCAACATCAAGGCATGGTGCCCTACGACGTCGTAAAATCTCGTATAAAATTAAATCTTTCTGGATTTGGATGCCGATTCACGTGTGTACGCAGAGTACAGTCAATAAGTTCATTACAATAAGATATACTGAATAAAAAAGTAGAGCAAGTATTTACTTTCCCAAGCGCATGAAATCTAGTGTCAGATTAAGCGGTTATGTAATAATAAAATACTTTTTTTACAGCATTTTTCTCTCTTCAACTTACAAGATCAACCGGAATCCCTAACAATATTTACCTCTATAATAACCGCTACTTCTGAATCTCGTTTTCCTATCATTGACCTGTCATTTATGTTGGCCGATCCACAGATTACTATCTTGTCGTCTACTATCATCAGCTTAGAATGGACATAGATCAGTTCTGTGATAGGTTCCGAATTCAATCTGGAGTGATTCCTTAAACCGTAGAAGGAAATGTACTCTGAGGGATCTTCGATGCCAGCATCTTTGAGTCTGTTCAAAATCGCGTCACGACCACTGCAAATTAAATTGTAGAATAAAGACAATGTTGCATAAAGTTTACTATACCCAAATATAACAGAATAAAAAAGTAAGATAGGAGTATATCAATAAAATTCGCGAGAGCACGAAGGTATGTGGTGGGCGAAGTGGTGGGACTTGAATAGCAATTATGTATTAGGCATTTATGTAATAGCTCTTAGTAATTAAGCATAAACGAACCTTGATATAGAGGCGTAGTTCCAATGAGTGATGGCATGTAGAGAAGTGCCTGTAGCGCCACCTACCTCTCCTTCAAAACCGGGCAACAGAGGCATTACTACATACACCCTAAATGTTGCCTTTTCTCTAAAAAAATAACAACAATACATAATAATAAGTATACTATCGTTCAACCTTACGTCATACATAGTCATTTCAAAGGAAATCGGGATACAATAATGTTATTATAAATACACAACTAAAATTAAATAAACTCATTTGAAATTAATCAAATTGGGAAGCAATCAATTACTAAATTTCGGAACGTACCTTGAAATTTTCTAAACAATATAAACAGACCTCAGATACACCCCAAAAACAGATATTAGATAAATAAAGATGACGTAATGTCGAAGATTGTTGTACAGACTATAAAGTAATCAAAAAAGTTGGCGTCACGTCATCAAAGAAGTTGAAGAAATAATGCAATTATGTAATTATTTAAAAAAAAATTGTATATGATTTTGTGTCTAAAATTGAAGTGAAAAATCTGAGATAAAATTATGAATTTTATTTGACACTTGTCAAAAGTCAAAGTAAAAAAAGTAGCTGTTGCAACATCGCGAGGTGCATTAGGTAAATATTTTGATAACGTGCATGCCAACATTTATTGAGTCTGGCACTTTACAGGCACACCATTACAACTTTCCAAAGGCGTTAATTCTTACTTGTATGCTCTGATAATTCTCTTATACAAAGCTTCGCCGATTTGGTTTTTAGTGTTGAGATTGTTGTAGGCTAGAGTAATGAAAAACTGATTTTCGATGTACACATAATGTTGGGCCCTGGTTATTGTCTCTATGTAAGCTTCGTGAATGCTTTGCTCAACATAATCTGGCTCAAGAAAACCGCCTGACCAGGTACTTATACTTCTCAGGACCTAACATCAATAGAAAACATTAAATTAAAATGAACTTCTTGTATGTTTATAGTTTATCTATTTAATAATGTATAAATTAAAAAATAGAATTAGATTTTTTGTTCAAAGTCTGTAACTAAATAATGAATTGAATCTTACCTGACATGTCACATTGTATGTCTTATTTGGGAAAGTAATGGGCAGTGTTTTAAAGTCGTTGTAAGATTTAGGCAATAAGTATGGATAGGCCGAGTTACTTTTAGCTTTTTCCAATTTTGTAGCGTTCCATCTTTGAATGAAGTGTCTGCCGACATCTCTAGCAGCTGGACCATACAAACATACCGCTATATCATGCCATGGCATTCTAGGAGTCGTAACCTATGATATTTAATAAAAATAAATATTATAATCTGTCAAACGATTACGTTGAACGCCTAAAGCTTGATTTTCATGCATCCGTTATCCGACGATACGATGATACGATATTAATTTTATTGGTTGAATTTAAAGACTTCCATTGGTTAGAAAATTACACAGTTTTAAATTTATTGCATTTTCATGCATCACTTCATCGGATATACGATTTGCTTGTGATTGGTGTAATTTTATATTTTCATTTCCATAACGATCTTGCTGTTTTACTTATAGTCTAAGAGCTAGCAACCTTTTCGAGAGAGAATTTTAAGAAACCTGATTCTTTAATATATGTTTTGTTATGCTCTCCTGAACAGAGTGCGGACCGTCTGGCTGCCGGTAGACGTTGCGTTCACTAGTGCGCATCATATCTGTATTCAACATCTGTTCATTACTGCGCATCACAAATTCGCCTTGTATTTCAGGAACTAAGAAAGCTAGGACAAACATATGAGTAACATATTTAGTTTCATAAAAAAATAGCAAAGTAATGTAAAAATCGCATCATTGTATCTCTACTCATAAACGAGAAATCCCATAAAATACTCGAAAATGGGATACCCTGTACATATGTGATGCGCAGTAGTGAACCGCAGTAGTTTACCGGAAGCCAGACGGCCCGCACTTTGGTCAGGAGAGCATAGCAAAAGATATATTAAAGAACCAGATTTCTTAAAATTATCGTTTTCCCGACGTTGCTAGCTCTTGTACTATTATATTTTTTTATTAAGGTAAGATTAAATTTGTTAAAAAAAGTATCAAAACGTCAAAACGTCCGTTATCGTACGATCTTTCTCCGTTGACAGGCTGGAGTAAAAAAATTGCGGATAAAAAGTGGCGCGAAAACGCTATGACCAATCACAGCGTCGTCGGACCATCGTATCAACGGATAACAGACGCATGAAAATCAAGCTTAATCCATCCTTAAGATTTCGACAGACAACACATTCTCCCTCACAATAATTATAATAATATAATATTACGCCATACTACCGAAAAAAAAACAGCGTCAAAGACGGCTGGTGAATGACAATCGTTGACAATTTTGGTCAGGTTAAGCCCTAGACGTCATTACTTGGCCCGTAATCTACTTTATTTTTTAATGGCATTTACTGTCAGTTTGCTTTGCAAGACGAGACGATGATCTCTAGACTGGTGGAGAAATTCACCATGGCAGAGACAGGCGAAAAAGTTCATAGTAGAACATTCGTCAAAATTCGCGGCAGACCTGACAAGCAAAGACAGAGAGACAGTCAAAGTTGTAGTTGACGGAAGAAGCCATGTTCAGGTTCTGTCAATCTCAAGAAACGACAGAACACATTTTATGTCGATTGACAGAGTACTATAGAGAGAGAAAATGAGAGAGCCATATGGAGGGTTCAGTTTCCAAGTTGCTAGACTATTTGAAAAGGTAAGGATTGGAGAATGCAACCGTCATTATGTAAGGATCAGGAGAGGCCATAATATATCTGAATAGGTCGCAGTGGATCAGACCGATAGCCACCTCAAAGAATCTAATCTTACCTATTACCATTACCTATTTAATTAAAAAAGTAAAATACTTACCCTATCGATAAAATCATCAAATGGCGAATCCAAATTCGTAAAATCTTTCACAATAAAATTAACGTAGTCCTTTCCAACCCAAAATTTTGCGGAACCGTTTAGAGCATCGATGAACTGTTCTGGAGTTTCCAAATTAATTTTTCCACTTTTATCGTCATTTTCCAGCTCGTCTTCGGATGTAAATACTTCGTCTTCACTGGCAGTATATACTAAATTGATTAGCTCTTTGCCTTTAGATTTAACTTTATCTTTGATATCACCGAAAATATTTTTTCTTTCTGCATCGGGAGTATTGGGTTTAATAGATGTGCTTGAATAAAAACAAAAGTTATAAATAAAAATGCAGAATCTCAATTGATAAAACAACGTGGGAATAAATTAGAAAAAAAAACATACTGACATACTTTGGAAATGAAGATCTGTCATTTTATATGTAAAATTATATGAGAAGGGCGACGATTTTTTTATCATACGATAATAATAGAGCAATAGCTCGAAAATAGTAAGTAGAATAAATAGCAAGAAAACAGAGTAAATAGTATCTAAAGATTTTAGCTTACTTGTGAGGCATCAACAATTGATCACCAGGGTTTAGTTTTGGCAGATCGTCAGGATTAGGTGCTTGCTCCATAACTACATTCTGAGATTCTTCGTGTGTGGGTAAAGGTGATCTTTTATAATACGGAACTGGTATAGGGTAAATAATGTCTCCTGCCGTTCTGCTAGATGTTCTTTTTCTTAATGTCGAAACGTCAACGGCGGGTGTCATACTACCCAGATCTGTCAATCTTGAAAGAACAAACATATTAAAAAATAATACTACTTATGTCATTGAATAAAATACGAAAAAAGGAGTCAAATACAATTATATTATATTTATTTGACTCTTTGAACAATAACGAGTTGTCGTAATGTCATTTTTAGTAAAGCGATTAAAAGCGATCAACTCAATAACTATCAATTCGAAGTGGGTTAAAGAATGCCTAGAGAAGCTGAACAAATTAGGAAAAGATAGTAAAGTCCTCCTACTCAAGAACCAAGGGATAGAAGGCAATAAAAAAGCAAACGATCTAGCTAGAAAAGGAGCAAACACTCCGCTAACTGGACCAGAACCGTTCTGCTTCACAAGTGGAAACCAACTTAAAGCAGAACTCAAGAACCTGGAAGACTCCATTCGTAACCTGGAATGGAAATCCTCCTACAGTCAGACACTCGAAGAAATTTCTCAGAACTTAAGACCGATAAAAATCAAGGATTTTCCTTGATTTAAGTAAGAACAATCTTCTGACAGTTACGGGGGATTTTAACAGGACACTGTCTCCTCAACTAACACCTCAGCAGATTGAAGCTAAGAAGCAACGGCGAATGCAGATTCTGTGGGGAAAATGGGGAAACACCAGAACACCTCATCACTGAGTGCGCCGAGAAAAACATTCGTGCCATGAACTTTGGTACAATTGATATCGGAGATGGGGAACTAACCTCTGTAAAACCGTCCCAGATACTGGCTTTTGTCAAAGCCCTGAGACTGTATGATGAGTTATAACTGAAGAAACTGGACCGAAAGTAATTGCATAGATAACCGGAAGAAATCGAATACGTCATTCAATTTATGTCATATACATACCGAAACATATCAAATCTCGTTTTTTTTGTCTGAAAAAATAAAAACACCTGGTATATGAAAGTAACGATGTTTTTTATTCGTGATTAATAGTTTCTTTAACTAACTTACCTATGATTCTCATCGTCCCATCTTCCATAGCACAAATCAATTCCACCAACAAACGCGTATGTTTGATCTATAACAACGATTTTCTCATGATGAGCCCACAAGAAAACACCAACTTTCGCGTGATCGGGATGTCTCAATACTTTGATGTTTTTATGTAGATCTTGTAAAGTTTGCTTGCTATAAAAACTGTTTAGTCCCAGGGCTAGTTCTACTTCTTTGTATAACAAAATGTAAACTTTAACACCGCTTTCCTAAGAAAAAAATGCACCCAATAAATTTAAATGTTTAGAACTATACAAATTCCAAAATCATGTAGGCACAAAAAATACTAAACATAATTACAAAAAATAATAATACTTACGGCTTTTCTTTGAAGTAGTTTATCCAAGCGCCAATAATCACCGCTGATAGCGGGTCTTTTCAAGTAAATCTGGGGACTGAGCCACCAGTCGGTAATGTAGATTTCTTCCTTAGCTTGCTCCAACAAATCCGCCACGCTGGACATGTAGGAAGAACCGTCAACAAACCAGGTGGCGCTGGTGTTGTTTCTGATGGGAGCAAACGAACGATGTGGATTTGGTTGTATGAAATCTCTCGCTACATAATTAAGTAATGATAGAGTATAATAAATAATGTCTGTTCAGCGATCGTTCAACGTTACGTCATCATTATTTGTCAAATATGCGTTTTATGGTATGTCTGAAATCAGTTCATATTGTTTATAACATTTTAGGTGCGTTCTGAAATCATTAATTGAGCGAATTCCGTAATTTTTTTAAATTCATGTAGGTATGTTAGGCCTTTATTCATTTTTATTGCCTTTATATTTAAAATTTTAGGGATATATACCAGTTTTTTTCAAGTAAATCGTACCTATTTTAAAAATATGCTTATGAAAAATCTTGAGATTCTACAGGGTTGTTCACCACATACGACACGGAGTATTGTAGCTAAACGCTTAGATTTTTACAAATTTTAAGTTTTTGGTTCGTTGAAGGACTATTAGAGCTACAATTTAGAAATAATTTTACAAGATACAGAGTGTCCCAAATAAGTAAAAAATGCTATAGTTGTATTTTTAAAATGAAACACCCTGTATATTATTCCATTTTTAGATTCTACGATTGAAATAAAGGTAAATTTTATTAAGGTTTATCACACTTAAACCTTACCGTTTTTGAAATATTTTCAATTTTGTGAAATTGCAGTAAAAATTTTAAGGCTTCATTTCTCCAAGGGTATCAAAGTTTTTAATACTAAATATTTACTGAAGTTTATTTATTGATCAGTTATTGTGTTGCAATAATAAAAATTATACTACCTTGTACAGAGTGTCTAAAATTTTATTTTAAATAATTACTAGCTTTAAACGGCAATAACTTGTTTAATTTAAATAGAACGCCCTGTATATTTTAGGAGAATCAGATGCATAATTTAATTGTCTATCAAATTGTATTATACCACTTTTTACCTATCCCTCCAAGTTTTCGTAGAAAATGCATTTTCTTATAATTTAGACCTCATTTATCAATATACCCATGGAATATTACATTTTAGATTGTTTTTAAAGCAACAAATGTACAAAATATACAGGCTAGTAATATTATCGTTTTCAACAAAATGATAATATTACTAGCCCATTTGTATGCAAAAAGAAAACTATTTAAATCTTCATAAAAGAGTATACTATTAATTAAATATACCACCGCCCAAATACTAATTAATTACATACTTAATTATGTTCGTGAATAAATTATTCTAAATAAATGTGGATTTGAATCAGAAATCAATATAATAATAAGTTATAAAAATGAATGTCTCTGTTGTTACAAATAAGCATTTGTCAAAAAATGAAATATCATTTTAAGGTGTTACTTTTTACCACACATAAAAAATTCAGTTTTTTAGTTTTTGGAGCAATTATTATTACTCAACGCAAACAGTCAATTAATGTAGTTTGAATATTGGAATCATATTAATTGGTCCTCTTTAACAAATATTTAAACAGTTTTTTTTTTATTTTTTAATGAAATAAACAAACTATATCGACAATATTAGTATCTGTACTCTTTGAAAATTTGGTACATCTTTAAAAATAATCTAAAATGTCAGTATTCCATAGGTATATTGATAAATAAATTTAAAATTACAAGAAAATGCATTTTCTACGGAAACTTGAAGCTATAGGTAAAAAATGGTATAATACAATTTGATAGACAATTAAACTGTGCATCTGATTCTCATAAAATATACAGGGTGTTTCATTTAAATTAAACAAGTTATTGCCGTTTAAAGCTAGTAATTATTTAAAATAAAATTTTAGACACTCTGTATTATAAGGTAGTATAATTTTTATTATTGCAACACAATAACTGATCAATAAATAAACTTCAGTAAATATTTAGTATTAAAAACTTTGATGCCCTTGGAGAAATGAAGCCTTAAAATTTTGACTGCAATTTCACAAAATTGAAAATATTTCAAGAACGGTAAGGTTTAAGTGTAATAAACCTTTATCAAATTTACCTTTATTTTAATCGTAGAAACTAAAAATGTAATAATGTACAGGGTGTTCCATTTAAAAAAATACAACTTTCATATTTTTTATTTATTTGGGACACTCTGTATCTTGTAAAAATATTTTTAAATTGTAGCTCTAATAGTCCTTCAACGAACCCAAAACTTACAATTTGTAAAAATCTAATCGATTAGCTACAATACTCCATGTCGTATGTGGTGAACAACCCTGTATACAATAAAATATACTTTGATGCTATAGAAGTTCAAGATTCCTAAAATAATTAAATAAACTCGTCGTATTTTAAAAGCATCAGCAACACGCTCTATTATTTAAATGTAGTTAATTTGTGTTTCCTTAAGACTACACATGCTTGCATTGTACTTACTTCATATAGACTTGGGGCATTCTCCGCCGGTGCTGCCATCGCCGGAGAATATCGTAAACAACGAATACATACAAATGCACGGGTTTAAATGGCGAGTAAGCAAAAAAATTAGCATATAATTATTCTAAAAGTGTTAGAAAGTATAATTTGTGAAAATTCTAAACAAAAAAATAAAAAGGTAAATATTTTGATATCTTCACAAGGTCTAACTATTATTCCAGTTAAAAATGTTTTTAGATGAGTTCAACTACGGTAGCGAGCATAGTTTTATCACCGGTTTTGCTAGTGGGGCATAATTGGAACTATTTCACCCAAGTAGCAAAAAGAAATTCTAAAAGGATTAAATTATTTTATAACAGTCGAATAGCGTTGTCTTAAGGACTGCTTGATTTAAGCGTTTGGTTTCGACCATTCTGTTTTTTAATAAAATTTGTCATATTAAACTATTTTCTAGTGGTTTTTACAACGTATCCTATAACGCATTAAACGATAATTTCTTTTAGTATGATATAACACTTAATAAGACAATGCTATATGATAACAAACATATTATTTTATTAGACTCTTATACCCACCATGTAAGAGTTCTATAATATTCATATAACTAGTAGTCACAAGATCATATAATAGTTACTTAAACTTGTCTTATTAAAGTTGTATTACGTTGTATGATGAATGTTTTATTGCGTTAAACTACGGTGCTGTATTCAACACCAGTTATATAGCCCTATATGATAAAATTGTAATTAACAAAATAAATTCGCTGTAATATCTGCATTATAAAACTGGTAATGTATAATATAACCTCATTTTAAATTAAATGGTATACCTAGTTATTTATTTTGTTATTGTTGTTGTTGCAAAAGTAATATCTACGTACGAGTATAATCAATCACAGTTATTATGAATTCTGGACAAAGTTGGAAAAAAGTTAACAAACGCAGTGATAGTTATAAAGAGCACGTAAGAAAAAACTCCTCGAAATTACGGCAAATTATCCCGAGAATTCCCTGGGTTCCCAAAAGCCAAAATCTCTCAGGTTATCTGGCTTCTTCAAAGCATTGTTGCCACGTTGATGTAAACGTTTTACTGTAGTAATGTTTGTATTGTTTTATTGTTGTTTGTCCAAGTCCTTAGGTTGCCGCTCACACGTCGGGCACGCATGAAATGCATTGCGTGCATGAATCCATGAAAATCTGATCATGTTTGTTTGTGTAAATACTAATCAAGTGAGATTTGGCAACATCTATTTGTCACAAATCTCAATATGTCCGAAATAGTTCTATAGTGCCTGGAAATTCTGCGTAATGATAGATATTTATCCTATACCGTTTTATTTTACAACAAACACTTATTTAAGGGATTCATTTATAATAAAATGGTTGCATTATAATTCGCCATGTTTAAGGCAGAATTTTTGTTTGGCCTATGGCCGCCATTATATGAAGCAAAATTAAAAACATCAAAATAAATTGTAAAATGTTATTTTTGAGAACTATTTTGTGATAAGATTCCCACATACAGTAATAAAGTGTTTATAATTAAATTAAAAACAAGAATTTTTGAAAATTTTATTTTATTTTATTGTTTAAATTTATACGTAAACCTTAATCGAAATGAAAGCGCTTTAATTTTTTGCCAAATACATACCTATAATCTACCAGTAAAATTTTCGGCGCAATAAAAATTGTCCCTACTTTTCAAACCCTATTAATGATTTTTTATATTACATATTTGTTGTACCTTCTGGCTCTACCCGCCATTTTCATTGTCGAGTAAAGTCTCCTTTTTAACAATCCACATCCTCTAGATTCATTTTACGATACGCTTAAAATATAATTTGCTCCTAATATTCTTCGGTAAAAAATAAAATACTCTTTTACCTCGCTAAATGATCAAATATTTTTATTGTTCTGTTTCTTAGATGTGACCACGTAATACACAATAAAACTAGTTTTATAATAGTTATATAACGCTGTGTAAAATAGTTGCATAAGAGTTGTATACCCCTTTTATAGAACTTCTATACTACTAAACGGTTGTATAAAATGGGCCTTTTTTGGTTGTAAAGCTATCATATTACGGTCTTATAGCACGTTATATGAATTGAGGTATCCTATAAAAATTATCACATAGCTGTTTATACAGCCTTTATAAAATAAAATTTGCTACTTGGGCAGCTATAACGATTTTTTTAAAGGTACATAATTATAATTTTAGAAGATGTTCATAAAACATTTAATCACTAGTTGATTAAAAAAGTATACCATTCATATTGCACACACACAAATTATATTTCATCCCCTCATAGTATATGTCTATTTAATTTTTTGATTATGTAACGAGCACTTTGTTTACTCACTTGTTTCGTCGAACTGCTTGAATCCATTTTTGCTATTGATCAAATCGGTGTAAGAAATTATGAAGCTATAAAATGTTGTTTCGGGAGAGTTGAATATCCGGGAAAGTTGAGTTATTGAATGTTACAACCCAACAACGACCTAATTAAGCTCTCCTTTACGCGTTAACATTTTTTAGTCAATTTTATTAACATCTGAAATTGTCCCAACACAACAAGACGCCTAGTTCGAATTCTTCTTCACTTATTTTTTACTACCCGAAACAGCGTTACATCACACAAACCTCGTACCTGAGTGTTTTATAGTCTCAATAACTGCACTAGTAAAAAACTAAAATACTTAAATCGATCGACATGACGGCGCGGCGGCATGAACTATATATTGATAATTTCTGATTTCTGCCGTAGAGCGCGCTGCGGTCGGAATTTGTTGAAATCAACTGAAATGCACCAAGCCAGTGTCTCTTTTCTCCAGTAAAATAAGTAATAAACTTTGCGATGAGAACTTGTTTACCTTCGCTAATTTTTTTAGCAAAGCATTTTAGTAATAAAAAAATTGAATTTCAAATTAATAATCAAAAAGTCATAATCAAGTCAGAATTAAAAATTGATTGACAGCGCAATCAAATTTAAATTTTGACATTGATCGATGTCCGTCAATAAATTTATAACCCCAAACGAAATGACAATGACAATTACCAAAAACAATCTGCAGTAATTTACAATATACCGTAATTACGTCACCAATCTCTTTCATCTGGTGTCAAGTGAAAGAGAGAGTTCGACAATATATGACGTGACGTTGAAAGATCGCAGAACAAACAATATTTAAATAATTGTTTTTGAAGCTAATAGCTACCTGTAGTCTCTGCCACTTGCTTTAAATATTCTACCCATTCTTTGCTTGTTCTTCTTGTGTGACATTTGAAGGTTAAAGACCGACCCAGGGTCTGTACTTGGAAACCGGTGTCTAGAGGCATGGAATACATGCCCGTAGCCACCTCAAACCCTTGGTCATACAATATAACTGAACTGATATGCCCGGTTTTGGGATTTATGTAACCGAAACAGGAATCTTTTAGAAAGAACCATCTTTGAATCCAGCGAGAGCATATAAAATTTCTGCAATAATGCTGACACCTACAAATACAAACCTTTATTACACCGGGTGTTTTTCAAATGTAGCTCACCCCTATTACTTTTTTTATTTTTTCAGGTAAAAAAAATTTGATTTAGTATGTTAGTATATGATAAATCTGGATTGATTGATGTATTCAATTAGTTTCGGTCATTTCCTGTTTCGGACTAACGGAAATGACTACAATTTTTGATTTTTAAATGGTATCCTCGGTATGTTTTACTTCCTTTGACAGAAAATGACATTACGAATAGAACGATGTACCATATGTCAACTTTTGACATTTTCCATTATAAAAATGTATTTTAAATATACCAATTTGGTCATCGAAACTGAGCGGTCTGGATTTTAACGTGTAAGACAGTGATGTAGACAGCTTAATGGAAAATCAAATGTATTAAAAAGAGATAAAAATTATGTCGACACATTTCTTCTATGCGGTATTGCCGGATTTTGCATGAAAATTTCAAACCGCACAAGTAGGCGTTTACGAAAAATGTTGCATCTAGTGTACAAAAATTATATTTAATATTAAATAAATTTAAATTTTATTATAATTTATCCACTTATTTTATAAATAAAAATATTATTCTGATGTTGAAGTTTTTTTTTAACTTGTGTTAGTTAGGTATCTGCTTTTAGATACATTCTATATCAATAATTTTTTGGCATATGCAGAATGTACAAAGCTTTTTGTACCATTTAGGACCGTACGAGTACATATGAATAAAAATGCATATTTTTCGAAAAAACGTTTTATTTTCCTTAAAACAAAAAAAAATAAAAACCCGATCAAATTGTTTTTTTCTAATTTCAATACAGATTGGTCGTACTTGGTAAAAATTTCGATTTTTTAAAAATTGTAAATTTGCGGTAAAAAAAATTCTTGACCAAATTTTCACACTCTTATAAAATACCCTGTATACGAGAATTCGCTAAATATATTTTCGAAAACCACATAGCATCTTAATCACAATAAATGCATCTAAAACCTGGTCCAAACCGCATTCCAAAATCTTTTTTAGTTCAAGAGATATTCAACTTTAAATTTACCCTAAAATTTTGCTTGTCCCGATAATTATGTCTGGCAGTTTATTTGACGAAATTGTCCACAAGTACTAGTTAAACGCTTTTCTACACTCATGCACATACGCCAGAAAGAAATCTAATAACTAACCTGTTTGTTTCACTTATTTTTAATGGCCAAGCCGTAAAGGGAATCCCCCGGGTTCCGAGCGTCGACGCATCGGCCCGGAACGAAGCGGTTTGACCCTGATCGAGATCGATTCTGTTACCCAGTCGTAATATGTCGATCCCGCAGATCCCGCAACTTTGATCCCGCGGAATCTCAGAGGGATCCCGGATTTGCGGAATCCAGCATTTGCGGGACTGCATTCCCTAGTCGGCATGCGTTAAAATACAGACCACGCAGATGATGTGTCCAGGATGGTATAATAATTAACATTCGCGATTGCGGATTCAAATTATTCAAATATAATAATATTAAATTAAAAAATAAATAAATAATACTCACCTGAGACAGCACAAACAATTATAACAACCGAAAATATTACACCCTGATTGACCTGGATTTGTACTTCCAGACTTTTTTTTCAAAAGTCCTTCTTTCCCCTTTAATCCAAGATCTTTAATAAAAGACAGATGACTAATCTCGAAAAAATTCAACTGTAAAAAACAAGATTAATTTAATATTTAAACAAGAATAAAAATGACAAGATCAAATATTAAATTACTAGAATTAGTATTTTGTTTGATCTACTTATCATAATTACCGTTGCTGGATGATTTTTATAAATCGGAATGGACAGTAAATTGTTTAAATAATCTTCGATCTGTTTCATTCGGTTTGGGATTTTTTCAAATGATACTAATAACTCAGGTTTTTTTGGAAATCTGTAAATTTTTTACGTAAGCTTTAAATATTAGTGGTAAATTTATTTCTTGGATTTAAATAAAAATACATTTAGATAAATAAAGATACATTCATTTATTTTATTAATAATTATGTCCATAAACCCTTGCTTAATATAAAAAATACTAAAAAGGTCTATATTTTTAGAAATTTTTTTCATTCTGAAAAAAACTTTTTCAGAATGCTGAGTCACCCTTTATAAATTACTAATAATTTTTGACCCTTACCTTGGTAATGCCCCCTTCCTTTTGCCTTTTTTATTTATTGGAACGTTTTCTTTAAAGCTCTTAATTTTATTTTTGTGTGTTTTACTAGGAAACGGTATATTCAAACTTGTCTTAAATAATACCAACTCCTGATGCAAATTTTGCACATCTTTGTACCTTTTTTTGATTCTCCAATTGAATCCTGCATGCGTGACTGATAAGGTGTATCTAGATAAAATATTTCCAAAATATTTTATATTTTTTTGTAGTAAAATAACTTACAAATTAGGATTTATCATATGAGTTGTTAGGTGTCTTTCATAATCAACTAAATTCACAATAACATCCTCACCAGGAACAAAAACAAGCCTGTTTAAAGATTTAAACTTGATATAATTGTGTATTTTAGTAAAGGGTAAACCACCTTCAGAATCCTCATCTGTAAACAAGCAAATTAAGTGTCAGTCATGCATTAAATTGCATCCTCTCACCTTGTAGTTCGTCATCTGAATTTTCAATGGCTACAGGACCATCCCCTACATCTACAATTTTTATTGTTTCTGGAACACCTAATTTATCATCATAATCTGCGTCAGAGCCTATGCTTTCTCTTGGCAATGACACTGTTGGGCTTAGTCTTCCACTAGTGTCTGGATCCATATTAAATGAAACCTGTAGCTGAATTTTACTAAGATATATTATATATTTTTCTTTATCTGGTCATTAACCACAGCTGATAATATTCTTTGTAATTGATAAATAATGCTTTAAATGTCATTGTTTTAATAATTTTAACAGACTGAAATAAAATAGAATAACATAACACTAAATACACATAGAACCATACAGCTAAATATGAATTAACAGAAATTATTTGCGCCAATCTCCCTGACACACTTTAACCTGTGATTTAACGTTACTTCCCATTAAAAAGTAATAAATTATAATCTCTAAAATCTGATAACATGAAAATATACATTTTGTTTATTTTAACTTACTGAATCTACTGAATCTATGTAACAATTTTTGAGTGGGCATACTTTTCCTCACTTAAAAGTGAATTAAAACTAGAGGTGATGATTCATATCATCATCATTAGAATAATTACTGCATAGTTTTAGATTTCAGTAATTTTTATTTTCTTTCTTTGCTCATAAACAAGGACTTCTTCGAAAAATGATGGGCATTTTCAAGGTTATTCTTGACCAATACGTCATATTACACGCAATTTTCACTACTGCTATGGAAAAATTGCATTTCTGAAAATTGCTATTGTTAAAATTATAATAATGAACTAAAATCTACAAAAATATAAAATCTCATGACATTTAAAAAAAAATACTAAAAGCTAGGTTAGAATCATTTTAGGCATTTATTCGTTGCTAACTTTTGGCCGGTATGTTAGTGATGTTAGTATTAAAATTAAAATCGATACTTAAATATCGATTTTCAAATAATACATTTCAAATTAGATTTTAAATAAATCGCTAAATATAAAAGGTAACACTTTCTAAACTATTGGCGTATGTCGTTTCGAAATACAATAATTATTATCTTTTCCCTATCTATAGATTTTTTAAACTATAAAAATATTTAAAATAACGTTCGATCCTGGTTCGATCTACTGTTAAATTCTTCATATTTCTTGGAAAAAAGAAAGTCTTCTGTCACTGTCAGTAGCTGTCAGTGAGTTAACTTAGTAGTTGTGTGTTGTTAAGAGTACTTTTAATTTTATTTTTCTTAATTTTAAACATGTATTCACTCTGAATATTTGTTGTTAATAGTTAAATGAAATATCCGCTCTTAATATGATTTGTTATTAAATAGTGTAAGTTTGAGAAATATTATTTTTTTAACGATTTAGGTAAGATACAAGACTGCATAACACCAAAATGGTATGACTTCAAAGTTTATAAATTTAGGAACACTGCAAATTTCATCTTTACCATGATTGACGAGCACATAATTAGCACTAGTGTCTACAAGGAAATGGTATTTAACGCTTTTAATTTTTTAATTGGAATGTTTCAATGTTATCTGGTGTTGTAACTTCTTTTGTGTTAACACTACTTTATAAGGTTTGGATATATACAATACTTATGTATCAAATAACATAATAATATTTTAATATCCTATGTAAATTGGTTTTGTACATATTTAAAAATATTATAATGAGACCAAAAGCTGAAAAAGGTCATAAGCATGGATGGCCAGACAAAACAACACTAGTATCTATTTTATTTTTTAAATTGATGCTCATTGATTAGCTTATTTTTCGGCTCATTTTTTTTATAAAATAAACTTATTTTCGTTTATAATGTGCCTGAATAAAATATTCATAAAGGTTTTATTTGAAATTATTAATTATTTATTCAGTAATAATTGTATTTTTTAACCCATAGTAACTGTTGTATGCAAATTAGAATATGGTGTGTTGTCTCTTAATGAGTTTGGGCCTATAGCACGGTATTTACTTACATTAACACTATTATCTAGCTATTAACGTGTATGTTGTGTTCAATTAAGTTGACATCAACTAGCTTTTTATGCAAATTAACTAGTTGGAATAATTATATTAAAAAAATTACTTGTTTCTTGTTTCATTCTAGATAAATGTTCTTATCTGTGAAATTTCTTGAGTGTACATTTCAGGTAAAAATCTCCAAAATTTGAAATTTCTGCATTAGATCTAAAAATAAATTTAAAATAAATGACATCATTGGATATATATAAATGTTATTCATTACAGTTCAAAAAGTAATTATCAGAATTTTATTATGCAGTGTATTTTTTATTTAAGATTGTGTCTTGTTGCTTTGTATCTCATGAGATGTATATTAATAATTATTAATAGAAAATGGAAAATATATTAAAGTTTTAAGTATTATAAATTTTATGTGTGTATTTAAATTAATAATACAAAAATTATTGGAGCAAAGCTTAAACTTAATTATTTTACTATCAAGTTATTTAAGGTCATTTCTAATGTTGGCCAACTGAATTTTTAGTTTAGAACTATTTAAAAAGTGAGTCAGTTTAATATACCTAAATCAGTTAAATAGTAATCTAAAAGTAAAATGAGCTGTTTTATGTGAATTGGCATAAGATATTTCTTTTGATTTAAAAATTTAAGGTAGGAAGTGTATCTATGTAAACCAACCGTTAGTCTGTTATGGTGTGATATTGTGTGTTTTATTTTAAACTTTTATATTTGTTTATTATTGCATTATTTTTTGTGCTTTTTGTAATGGTGTATGTTTGTGTGTTATAATGTGAATGTGTTGTTAATTTAAAATAATTTTTCTTCTTATTTGTCCAAACCGCTTATATGGAAAACTAAATATTACATAGTCCAAGAAAACATTTCTACAGTATGTCCCCAGATTCTCTTTGTAAAAGTTTTTGCTTGTTCTAAAATTCCGTTTCTATAGTAATATAATTTAGATTTCATTCTTTAATAGATGGGTATTATTAATTTTGATTATCGTCATATTTTTTGCTGTTAAAGTATCACATTTTCCAATAACTATTATTATCACCCTTTCCATAGCGTTGAACTAAATCCATTTTAAATACATTCTAAACAACAATCTATCTGAATCTATCAAAGAATGAAAACGAAATTATATTACCACAGAAACGCGTTTTGATTTTTAGGATTCAACGATATTTTTCTTAATTTTCGCTAAACCGGTATTGGAATTTGGAAAAGTATAAACGGAATTAACCATTTTAGAACATGCAAAATTTTTTATGAGGAATGCATTTTTCTCAAAATGTCAATAACAAAAAAGTTTTTCCTCTTGTAAAGACAATCCGGGGACATACTGTATATTAAAATTTGTAAAAAAAGAACTTTCTGCATGTTGACATCTTTCCAGAATAACATTATTTGTTAAACCTGAAAATATTACTTTAACATAAATTAATATTATACTACAAATATTATTACTTGCAGTTTACACTGGTTAGTGAAGAGCGACATCTCCAAAGTTTCCACTTTTATATCTCAATAGTATTTTTCAAAATACTTAATGGAATATATTGTAGCTAAATTATTTGACTTTTTAGTATATCTTTTTAAATTAAAAGTGAAAGTTTCCATCTGTTAAATAATATATACGAGGGAAAACAAAATGTTGATATTTTGGTGAAAGTTTGACTGTGGAGCATAGAGAAATATAAAATAAAAGAGTTGTCATTTCCATAGTAAAAAGTAGGCAACACGTTTAACGAGGATCGATTGTAGCGCACCCTTGAGCCCTAACTGAACTAATAGAAATATGACAGACGTAATCGGTAAAATAGGTATCTGTATTACCTACCACAAAAAAGGCGGGCAGTTTAAACGTGAATTTAAAATTTTATGTATTTTTAAAAATATTACGAAATCAAACTGCAAAAAACATAATGAAAATTTATTTTTAAAAACGGAATATTTGAAAAGTATAAACTATTGTACACTTTTCAAACGCTTACAGTTAAATGCTAAATTAAATTTGATAATATAAAACATATGCTGAATTAACCTCGAGGGGTAAACCGCTGATGAATTTCTGTACACTAATGCCAAATAATTTAGTACTAATACCAATAATACCACGAAAATGCCAACATCTTGTACACCAAAATACACCAGCGGTTTACCCCTCGATTAACCTATAGTATTATAAAACGTATTTAACAACGCCACTAACAAAGCATATAAGATCGCAGGGTTTGCAATCTATGCTATTATAACAGATTAAGATTTAAATAAGACATCATCAAAAATTAATTCACCTGTAAGTTGGATTTATAAACTCAGCAGTTGAAGTTCAGTTGAGGTAGCAAATGTTCAACACTGTGAAATCAAGGCGCGAATATATAGTCAGTTCGCTTTACGTTCATTGAGTTCAGAGATGGGCAATGTCTTTACATATCAAACTTGCTTTGCATGATACCCTTTCCTGGATCGTGTTCAAATCACATCATCGGCTGAACAAAATATTACATGATGACCGTAAAACACATAGCACAAAACAAAGTTCAAATCATAGAGAAATATAAGGTCTCTGGTTCCTCGGGTAACAAAACTTCCTCCATAATTTCTGTACGCACAAACACAAAACAAACAAACAAACAAAGTGTATGCTACACAAAATAATAACAAAATTCCAAAATTCAAAACATAATTGTAAACAACTGCAAAATACAAATAATTTGCTGTCATGTCACTTGTCAATCTTGTCATGACACGTGACAGGTAGCAGGTGGCGACGCTTTGGAGCCCTAACTGAACTATGCAACATTATGGCCAAGTTAGACAACCTTTCAAACACTCTTTTATTTTAGTTACTTTATGCTGTGGAGTATGTTAACAAAATGTGTGACATCATCTAGGTGTATCTTTTCCATAGATAAAAGAAAATAATCTAGTATTAAGATAGATATGAAACTTAATAGTAAAATTTTGGGTCAAAGCGCCCCTCCGTGTTTTTAGTGGAGACTACGTTTAACCCAGCGCCTTCGCCCTTTCTGCTGTAAATGTTTTTTATGTTCATATTTGAATTCAAAGGATTTATTTTTAAAGTTACACTGATATATTAGTATATCAGAGTAACTTTAATAAAACATAAGAATATATATATATTTTACAATTTATTTTTCTATTTATTTTACAGAGTTTCATGTAAATGATCGTAAGTCGACTGGCTGTCTAATGAATAGACCGAGATTTATATATTTTAAAGCGAACGAAAAAAAATCAAACAACGAATACATACCATATATTTTTCTTTTATCTAAGATACATACCTTATCGTCTTTTGGAAACACGTACATTTTTGCAGTTTTGTTAGTTTCTTTGCAAGATGCAACACAACAAGGAAACACAATTTTTAGAGTTAATAAATAATAAAACTATTTCTGACCATGATATTTAAAATTTAGATAGATAGGAAATTAAAAAACAAACGAGTATTTGCAAACGCAGGTCCAAATTCAATAAAAATCAAAATTTTTCCTCCGAAAATCAGGCTTTTTTCACTGAAAAGGTATTTTCATAGATAAAAGACTTATACTATTAAATAGATAGGCAACTTATAATACATTTCAATTTTATTATACAAGGGCGCCTCTGGTAGACGGAGGAAGGAATACTAATGGAAGAGAGGGGTGCGGGGAAGGGGGGTTGTTTTAGTTAATTTAAAATATATTTAAACATACATGTAAGAACACTTTGTGTGCTTTTAATTAGGTCGAACATATTATAAACGATAAATCAACTGAATTAAAAGCATACAAAGTGTTCTTATATGTCGGATATTAATTAAAAAATATATTAAAAATACTAGAAATAGCATATATTAAGTTGTTACAGTTATAATTTAATCTTTGGCGGTTTTCAGCAAATAGCAGGCAGTTTTACATAATTTTCCTCCCTTTGAAGTGAATTGGAAACGGCTAGGTATATAATTTTGGTGTAGGCAAGATTCCCAGTTTGTTTCTGTTTGGGACCTGAAATAATAAAAACAAATTAAATCAGATGTAATCATCTGCTGATCATGCTAATATAAAACGCGCGTCCTTAATTCCTTACATGCACCGTAAAAAAATTTAAATAACTGCTCTGCAAGTAGCATTTATTAGCAGTACTAATTTAAAAAATCTATAACTGTAAGTAGATATGTTTAATTTACTTACCATTGTATCCTTCGGAAACCAGGAGTACAACAATTAAACTCCATGATAAAAAATAATTAAAAGTTATTACAAAACACAAATTGTCCCACCATTTTTAAAAAACATTGTCTAAAACAGAATACTGGCAAAAAATCTGAAGGAATTTAATTTTACAATAATTCGACAAAGTAAAATCACAAAAAAGTGTCCCTGAGTGACAGTTAAAAATCAAATTTTATTATTGTCAGATATTGACATTTGCATTGTTAATATTGACAGTTTTAATATTTTGCGCCTCTGCATCTTGGAGGAAAAACTATATTTAATGAACTGTCATTTCCATTTAAGTTTCCCAGCCATGGGTATTTTTTGATTTATCAGCAGTCATTGTCAAGTTGACAATATACAGGGTGTTTTCGAATTAGTCTAAAAAAATTATGGTGTGATTCCTCATGTGTTCTTAAAACAATTTTTATATAACCATTGGGTCTAAAGTACCTCCTTTCTGATCTACAGGGTGTTAAAAATTAAAAAAATCGATTTTTTTGCTTAACATAAATGGTACACCAGTGCTTTTTTAAAGAAAATATATTTTTTTCTTGACTGGCCATCCTTTTCCAACAAAATTGATCTTTTGAGTTTTTCTTGTTCATCAAACGGTTGTCGAGAAAAAAATAAATATACTTATTAAGAGCCCGCCTTAATTCGTTTTCTAACGATTTTGTATTTTTTAGATTAATTAGGAAACACCCTGTATATGCATATCACAGGCAACCAAATAAACTAGTAACCTCTAAAAATTATGTTTCCTACCACTAGCGACATACCGTGTTTTTAGTGTGTACTAAATTATTTTATCAAAATTTCACCATATAAATTTCCAGGCAATGATCTTTTCTCAATATTTTTTTTTTATTCATCTCAATAAATTATTTTGGGAGACATATTCGCTTTTGAAGAAGAGACTTAAAATTTTTTCTTATTTTCTACATTAAAACCATACCTTTTCTTTTGGTCCTAGACATACTTTTCTTGTCCTCCGGTCCTCTTTTGTACACCACCAGACCTATAAAATAGTATTTATGATTTATGTAATGTTGCTGTCTTTGAAAAATCATATTATTATTGACTATTGGACAGTTACTCTAGCAGATTATGTTATCTATGTATCTATGACTTTGAATAAGAAGACTAAGGAAGGAGCATAATGCTATCCATGTATTCATGCATGGTGGGCGGAAAAAGCTCTCTAGGGTGGGGATCCTTGACAGTTCTGTTTAACGATTTATTTGACACATTTGAAATTGATTTGAAATGTTGTGGATTTGTCAGTCTTTACGGAGCTTATTTTATATTATTTATTATTTATTCTGCTACTGATAGTTGTATAAAGGTAGTAAATCTAGATGGAAATTGTGGCAGAACTTAAATTAACAGTGACATTATCGCGATTTATCGAAAAAGACTCTAAAATAGTTGGTTGTGTAGCGTGCGGTAGATCTCGGCAAAAATTGAGTGAAATAATGGAACAACTTTTCGCTAGTAAGTGACTATATAATATACATACGTGTAGTAAACCGATCATTTATGAAATTCACTTAAATTAACTAAATTATATATTTTTCTTGCATTTTAGCTTTTATTTACTACTTGTCAAAGATCAGATGTCAAAGAATTTTGATACGTTAATTTGACTCACCTGCTTCAGTAGCGTATCGGATGTTTGTGTTAATAAATACTTATTATAACTTATCTATTTTTATTAGAATTATATATTTTTATAACAATTTTAATAACTACCAACATTTATTCACAACGTAAAATAAAATAACACATTATTGAGTCTACCCCACGTTACCCTACATCATAGTTTTACATTTTTTAAATAAAATTAGAACGGCACTGATAAACCGGAATTTAAGTCGGCCATATTTGAGGCCCATCGCGGTGTACCTAAGATTTTTGATATGCTCCTTCCTTAGTCTTCTTATTCAAAGATCTATGATCAATTAAAGCAGCAATAGCCAATACTTCAGAACTTAAAATCATGTCTATTATAATACTAGGGTAAACGTCAATAAACAATAATAATTTGACTCTCTATATTATAATATAACTTTTTAATGACAGTGACATTATAAAATTAATAAACATCATTTTATAAGCGTGTTGATGAGGATCTAAAAACAATGCTAAAATTTTTGTAAATCGTTACTGTCTTATTCAATAGTGAATATCTCTAATAAAAATAAAGCTTATTGAGATGAAACTGTCGAGAAAAGATGTGCCTAGATGATAAAATTATTTCTAAATTCCTTGCTTTGTTAACATATTCTACAGGGTCAGGGTGTTTTAAACTTTCACCAAAATATCAACATTTTGTTTTCCTCGTATAATAATTGACAGATGGAAACTTTTTAAATTAAAAAGAGATATTAAAAAGTCAAATAATTTAGCTACAAATTGCTTAAAAAATCATCAAAAACGGCCCTTCTTCTTCTTCAAGTATCATGTTCCTAGTGAACGTTGACGACTGCCATGTTAACAATATCTCTGTATCGCTCTCGATCTTGCTCTACATGGAGTAATTCATCCGCACTCAAGCCTGTCCAAGATATTTTAAGCATTCTTCTGTATGTCCACATTTCAAATGCTTCGATTTTATTTATGATTTCTTTATTAAGTGTCCACGTCTCACATCCATACAATTTTAAGGCGGCCGGTTTTCGTGCCGATAAGTGTATGTTTATTTGGAACAGATAAATTATCTATCTCTCATTATTTATCAAAATTACGACATAGAGCTGTTTTAATCCAAATTCAAGATGACTTGAAATTACTAATCATTTTTTATTTATTTTGAAATCTTATTACATCGAGCAAGTAAACCATTATCTGATATAATCGTACCACCATTCTAGTTCACCTTACGGTATGGGCGACCTCACCGACGAAGATGACTTCTTCGACACCATCTCGGTGAACTCGGCTCCCGGTAAACGCCTGCTGAACAACAACCGCTACGTCGGCCTCTCCAGGAACACCCTGTACCACTCGGCCATCGACCTGGACAACGGCGACGGTGGCGCCGCCGCCATGGAGATGACGGAGTTAAACGACGCACACCATAAGGTCTCGCTAGGCAATAAAAACATTAGAACGTACACACAGTGGAGAGATAGGGTATTTGTTTTTATAGGTTCTATTTAGATTAATACGATTCTTTCTTAGTCTGCATTTACAAGCATGGAGGTCACACTGCTCGAAATTGGGGATTTAATTTAACACACTCTTACCGTTGATTAAAGAAATAAGACCATGCGCAACCTTATCGGCGATTTTGTGACACAAAACCTGTCCGAGATGTAGCTGGCGATCAGGCGATACCGTCACCGCTATAGTCAACCGGTCTGAGATTTAGTTTAGATCTGCGCCGGCGCCGGTGCGCGCTGATAGTCGTTTACACCGCAACAGATAAAGAATACTGTACTGTAGTTCTGCTTTCAGTCGATAGAATGGGTGGTTGCCGGAGACAGTGTTGCCGGAACTACGAATTAATCCGTAGATTTACGGATTTTGGATACAGTACGTTAGTAATACCGATTATCTATCATTAAACAAATTAATATATTATATGATTAAACTTATGTATAAATTATTATACAGGGTGGCGCACCTCATTCGCCTCGGTTGATTATACAAAAATGGAAAGATGTAGGAACAAATTTTTTTGTGGGTGTATGTAGAGAGGCAATGTGCATAATTTAAAATTATGTTCAAATGTACAGGGTAGGTCAGAACTAAGATCCATACCAAAGTTATATTTTTTCTTATGGAACACCCGGTTTTATTTCATTTTTGGATTCTGGGGCATAAAATAAGGAATTTATTATAAGGGTTTAATATCTTTAAATGCTTTGATTTTTGAGATATTTAAATATGCATGCTATAACAAAAAAAGTTTGTCAACACCTTATACATTACTTTTCAGATTTAATTCTTGTGCTGGCTTTGAAGCGAGAGAAATAAACTTTACGAAACATTTTTATTGCTACCTTAAATATACTATACATGGGTATCAAAAATTGCTGGTCTATTTTAAATATTTATTTTACATAAAAACTTCGTTATTTTAAATACAACACTATGTGTTTTTTTAAATAATTCGAAGCAGATTTAAATACTCTTTCAACAATAGTTTAAAGTAAGTATTTATTATTTTATCAAGAAAAATTAAGAAGTAGTTCTTTTTTATTTATATTACGATGACTTATAGATATATTGGATTTTTTATAACAGAACCAATTAAGGCAAAATCATTTTCTTCGCATCCAATGACAGGTTTCTGCCTAATAGGTTTTTCATATACCACACTATCAGTTCTGCGAAATAGGAAAAGTAGTTTTTTAAAGGAACACGTCAAAAAAATTCCTATTTTGATATCTTTGAGCATAAAACCTTCAGCAGCCAACAAGCAATTGTCCTCACAAAATAAAATCTCTAGTAACATATCCATTCCTTCCGCCAGCATATACTGCTTCATTTTTCTTGATAAAATAATAAGTACTTACCTACTTATTAACCTTATTGTAGGTAAATTAAATAAAAATAACCTGTTATAAATTTAAAGTCTATAAACTAATGTCGATTTTGAAAATAGCTACTAAGTGTAAAATTGCCATGGCGACACCAGCCGGCTTGATTACAATTTTATTGAAAAACCGCTTTTTATTAAAAATCTGAGCCAGATAAGTATAGGAAACCCTAATATAGTTTGAAACAGCATTTAAATCTTCTTCGATTTATTTAAAAAAATACATAGTGTTGCATTTGAAATAACGAAGTTTTTATGTAAAATATTTAATGTAAACCAGCAATTTTTGATACCACTGTATACATTTAAGGACGCAATCAATTTTTTTAGTAAAGTCTATTTCACTGTCTTGAAAGTTAGCACAAAAATTAATTCCGAAAAGTAATGTACAAGGTGTTGACAAACTTTTTTTATAGCATGCATATTATTTCAATATCTTTAAATATCTCAAAAACCAAAGCTTTTAAACATATTAAACCCTTATAATAAACGCCTTATTTTATGTCCAAGAATCCAAAAATGAAATAAAATACCGGGTGTTCCTTAAGAAAAAATATAACTTTGGTATTGATCTTAGTTTTGATATACCCTGTACATTTCAAAATAATTTTAAATTATGCACATTGCCCTCCCGCACATACCCTTAAAATATTTTGTTTCTACACCTTTCCGTTTCCGTATAATCAACCGAGGCGAATGAGGTACGCCACCCTGTATGTATTCATATGTAAAATATTATGGTAAATGTCAATAATTGTCATTTCCAAGCCAACTAAACGATTTTTTTTTTCGATCATCACGAAATATTCAGTACCTATAAAAGAATGTTTATTTTTGTTGTTTATTCTATAAGAAATAAAATTTTAATACATAAACGGTTATTTTTAATCCAAAGATATTTTCGTCAAACTTATTACAGATATTACACATTTTAATATGGCAACACTGTCGCTTTCAGTACCACACCGTCTTCGATATGCTTTCGCTAGCCGAATTAGAGAAAATGAATGTTTTATGCGTTGGCTGCATAACGAGTAAAGGCTCCACCGTACAGCGCTTGATACGTAAGGGGAAATCAGATCAGCCTTGTCACGAATTTGCATTTGGTTGCGTATCTTCCCAATTCTTTCAATCAACGCTTTTACCTTATTTCACCACTGCTGCTTTTTGGGTAACTATTATGTTTAATTTAGAATTAGGCGTTAAAAGTTATAGTTGGTTTTACCGATAAAGACAATTAAACATTTTTAAACTAAATAAACTCAATAAATGGAAAACTTCAATACACTACTCAATTATATCACAAAAATGACACTTCCGCTTTAATCACACCACCATTAGTGTTTTTATACTTTCACTACATGTTTTTAGAAAATATATAAATTCTTATTTGTTATTTGAGTTTAGATAATGATGTCTTCATATTTATCAGTCTATAAATTTTGATGCTTATGGTTAAAATGTAGGTAAAAAGTATGCCGCATTTTTTCTATCGTACGGAATTTATAAGAATGATATTATTTGATTCTATATTATTTTTTAAATTGTGATTAGGTTATTATTTAATTTAATTATTTGAGGAGGCATAATTAAGATTTAAGTTAATTAAATACTTTGACATAGAATTTGGCACTAACTGGTTTCTGTTTTTTTTGCACTCTTTATACTGACATATTTAATCCAGTTTTTGAGTTTATTTATTATCAACTAAATTTAACTATATTTCATAGCTTATAACCGGTTTATTTTATACCAACTACTAGATTACAATGTGAATTAACTGTTTAGTCAGTAGTTAGTATAACAATAGCATTAGTTAGAGCAACAAAGTGGCTCACCTCTATAACTTTTATATTTTTTTAGATATTAAAACGAAATTTAGTATGTTAATATATAACATAAATTAGGATTGATTGGTGTATTCAATTGTTTTCGGTCACTTCCTATTTCACCGGAAATTACTACAACTTTTGATTTTTAAATGGCACCCTCGGTATTTTTTTACTTTATTCGATAGAAAATAACAATCTGAATAGAATGATATAGCATATGTCAACGTTTGACATTTTCGCATTTGGTTTATCTGAAATTGCGGTTCATAACGACAATTTGACTCGAAATATCAATTGTGTGATACCAAATTATTCGTAAAAAATATCTTTTTCAAATATGCTAATGAGCCAATTTCGTCCCATTTGAAAAAATTGAGATATAATTAAAAATATGGCCAGGAAAAGACACGAGAAATATTAGACGACAAAATCTGTTTTCCCAAAGCTCCTTGATTAAAAAATTAGTGTTTTTAACACAACCATGACACTCTTGATTGAAATTTAAAATACAATTTTTTAAGCGAGAATGTCAAAAGGTGACATGATATGTCATTCTATTCAGAGTGTCATTTTCTATCGAATAAAGTAGTCATTTTCGGTGAAACAGGAAATGATCGAAAACAATTGAATACGTCAATCAATCCTAATTTATGTCATATACGAACATAACTCGTTTTTTATCTGAAAAAAATAAAAAAGTTATGGGGTTGAGCCACTTTTGAGACGCACTCGGTATATACAAAATTACTCGGTATGTTTTTGAGGTAATTAATTATTTTTTTTTGTAATATTTTATATGTATAATAATATCTAACACTGTGTAAATACACTTGGTAAAGCTTAATATAAACATATTTAGCTTCGAAAAATATTCATTTCTTTTAAATTCTTGTGGGAACAACAATAGCCTGTTACATTCTTTGTACACGCGATGTAATTACATTAACATTTCTATTAGTAATAATGGTGAGTAACGACTATACATATACTAATATATTAGTAGTTAGGCTTCTGCTAAAGTAAAGAGTACATCTTTTTTCTTTCGATTTTGTATATAGTTTCATAATTTTTGTGGTTATTCGCAAGTTTTAGCAAGTAGTTTAACATTTATAAAGACATATTGACACCTTAATTATGTTAAAAAGATATATCAACTTTTTATAATGTTCATTATATTGTTAAATTTGTCACTAAAATGTAATTCCAAAAATACCATGTCATGTTCAATCCTGAATGGTTTATGATGAAATTTTTAAACTAAATTTGCTTAAATTTTTGAAGTAAATTTCTTTTTTCTAGTTCTCTTACCTCTAAGCTCTCAAAATTATTAAATCTTATATATACTTATAGATACTTTTTAACCGTATGATATGTAATAGTGTCTTCAAAAATTCAGCCTACTAAAATTGCAATCTTTTTTCTATACAGAGGGTGCGTCATAACAAAGTTATTTATTTGTTTGCACATTTTCAAATGGAAAACTCTGTATTTTGTATTAGAAATTGGGGTTTGTTTAAACTTCTTGATTTATTATGCATTTTCTAGGCATTAACTTGATTTTTTACTGAGATTTTTTTAAAAATATAACACCAAACAGAGAAAAAAGATTGGAATGAACCATAGACTTAGAATAAAATATAGACTGAGCATCTCATTCATAAATAGCTGGAAGATGCGGACAGACAACGTCTTGTTATTGTTGTGTTATTGTTTTTGGCTCTAACGAGTGCGACACGAGCGATAGATAGGCTGTCTCC